AGATCTATGTGGCAGTGTCATTTCTTCCTTATTGTTGATATTTTTTCTCGTCTTTATTCTTTTCATCAAGTGACCGTAATTCTCAACCATATGAGACATCGCTGAAAAAACAATTGTCTTATATACTTTTACATCAGAAACAGGTTAAAATCTTCACTCGAACTGAGATTCTGAAAGTGCCACCAATCAATCCAGGCCTGGTTCTTAAAGCGCGGGGTGTCCGTTAGATGACAATCAATGATGGGTAGGAACATCGGACTTTCAGCTATCGTCATAGCTTGGTGGTTAAAACGGCGCTCTTGGAACTCAGCGACTGCTGGTATGAGTTTAGTTAGCAGCGCCATCGTCTGTTTCCCTTTTTGGACCAGTTTATTTTATTGTCTACAAAAATAAATAATATAATTCACTTGCTGCCAACATATTGGAGGTAGTGTTGTTTAACAGGTTTGCCAGACAAACTTTAACTGTAAGAATATTGTCAGATTACCAAGGTGCACACTGTTTATATTTATTGATATGTTTGCAGAGCATGTCGGTCAACACAAGACTGAAAAGACGTAAAATGATCGTCATTACTCTAACAATGCTGGGTGGTAGTACAAAATCTGTTTAGCACAGTCTTCTTTGAAGTGGTGTATATTTTAGTGACATTTTAATGTATTCTTCAATATTCCTTCATACCATTATGTTTTGAAGAGCTCTTAGAGAAAGTAGACATTTTCATATCTGTTTATTTACGTTTGCCGCGTTTTGATCAGGAAACCACAAAGCCACCTAATTTTTTACAAACATCTGCGTTGAGGACCCTGTTTGGCTGTCACTAGTTAATCTTAATGCGGCTCGTTCTGTTTCTAATTTGATTTCCCTTCGTCAACAGCTTGCAAACTGTTTCCACGTAAAGAACACACGGACAAATACTGTAGATATGGCTCATAATCTGTTGGTGGTATATGACAGCAATGTAGGGTAGGAACGTTTATTATTATAATTTCGGCTTATCAGTTTGGATATCACCACCACCAACATTAGCTGTTAACTTTATATCATTTAGATGAGATTTTATTACAGTACAACTTATCGACATTATTTGATATTCCTTTCTATTTGGACACGTAAACACCACAAGCAACACCATCAGGTATGTGAGTTAAATTTTATTAAATATGATGATAACCACCTCATTGTTTAGCGACACTTATTGTAGGTAGTAAGTGTCTCTAAACAATATGACACTATTTACCTTTTGCTTGTATGTAATGTAAGAAACTCACATAACAGGTACTTGAGAGTCAATTCCAATGTTTTTCTGATCAGTCCTGGTTATAAAAAGCAGAAACTATCCACTTAGGTTTGTTTACATTGCGGCTAGTCATGAGTTAGACTTAATGTATTCTGGTAAACCTGAATGCGAATGGGATTGTGTTATTCATTGATCTGGTTATGCTCAAATGCGGTGTTTTCGAAGCGCAATGATGCTGCTCTTTAGAAAATTGTTTTGAAACATAATTTTCACATGCAACATTAAACATATAAGTGCCCAATGGGATTTATAGTAAAGTTTTGCAAACGTTTTTTTCACGCAAGTAGCATTTTTCAATAGGCATTGACACAGCCACCTACAATTTGGAAACATCTACGGTGCGCTTAGGTTTCAACCAGTTGATTTAGCCACCAGTTGATCTATAACACCGGCAAAAGCGCTTGAAGGTTCACTTAGGGACTGTCAACAAATTACCAAACCAAACACTCCTGTCAAACAAATGTTAATAAATGCCTTGAATTGTAACCAACTAATTGTCAGTGCTAATTCATGCTTTTACATGACACAATATCCTCTATTAAATTTTAAAGTCATATAAAATATTTTAAATAATTTAAATATTAAATATGTTTTCTTCAATAGCTTCCAAGCCATCTGACCTATTTACTCAGAATCACTTGAAATCTTTCTACTAGTCTGTATAAGTGAGGCACAGTCATTTTTTTCCATTTTATGTCATTTTCCTTTTTAATAATGCTTAATGCTTCCTGCTTAATAATGTGTAACATTCTTCATAGGCAGATTTCCTTTAATTGAGCTCACCAGACAAACTAATTAACCCAGGTGTGTGAAATTAATTATAGTGATTCAAAGAGCCCTGAAACACAATATAATGTATGAATTTAATAGCACAACAAAAAATGTAATCTTTATGACACTTAAATCCAATTTACATAATTGTCCATTTAAAACGAAGGCAGCCAGAATAGTCATTATAAGCATCGTCTTTAATGGTTATGTGTTTGTCTAAAGCACTTCCTTTAACATGCAGGAAGAAGAGTAGACTCCCATTGCCTTTCTTGTATGCAAGTAATAAAACATTTAGACTAGAATAGATTCTATTATCCTTTGCATTTCTTATCTATAATATGTATTGTGTACTTTTGTCATTTTTGCCAATTACAATCATTTTACACATGACCTGTTAAAAAGAACATATTCACTGATCCTTCAGTCAGGAGCGGGATTTTCAGAAGATTGGAGCAAGCTGACCTTCAAAAACTTTGAAATGTCCATAAGTTTTAGTTTTGAGAAAAAGGTCACTTCCTCTAAGATGTGGTGTGTAAGTTTAATGCAGACAGATGTCTTTTACAGTTTTGTATGACAAAATTTTAATTTTACTAAATTTTAATTTAAATTTCATAGCAAGTAGGACCACAATTGGCTTTATGAGTAAAAAAAGCCAATCATTACCTCAAAAATATTGGTTATTTTTAAGGTAATGATTTTGATCTTGGTAGATAGTTTGGGGGGCTGCACAGTGACGCAGTTGGTAGAACTGTTGCCTTAACTTGTTCTAGGTTCAATTCCCAGAACAAGGGAATTGTTCTGGGAACAAGGGAACAACAAGGGAATTGTTCTGGGAACAATTCCCTTGTTCCCAGAGCATGGAGTTTGCATGTTCTCTCTGTGCATGCGTGGGTTTTCTCCAGGTACTCCGGCTTCCTCCCACAATCCAAAAACATGACTGTCAGGTTAATTGGCCTCTCCAAATTGTCCCTAGGTGTGAATGTGTGTGTGTGCGCATGGTTGTGTGTCCTGTCTGTCTCTGTGTTGCCCTGAGACAGACTGGCAACCTGTCCAGGGTGACCCCGCCTCCCGCCCGGAACGTTAGCTGGAGATGGGCACCAGCAACCCTCCTGACCCCACTAAGGGACAAGGGTGTAAAGAAAATGGATGGATGGAACACAGAGCAAGAGAAACAAGAAGATCTAAACCAGGGGGGTCAAGGGCTGGCATCTTGCATGTTTTAGTTCTCTCCCTGGTGATAGTAACAACCTTTTCTGCTTGTCAATGTTCCTTTTAGTCCTTCTAATGAGCCATCATTTGATCCAGGTGTGTTGAACCAGGGAGAGAACTAAAACATGCAGGATGCCGGCCCTCGAGGACCGACTTTGGTCACCCCTGATCTAAACAAAGAACCTAACTAGAATTACTAAAAAAAAAAAAGACTAAGAATAACTGAACCTATAGTGATCAAATTAAGAAATGAACATTACTAGAAACACTGCAGGGAGGCTGAAATAAGAAATAACTAGAAGGATAAAATAGAATTAAACTATAGTCATTAAAGAAGGCTGGACATGGACTCAGACAAGGACAGAATCTAAGGTAACTAAAGAATAAACCTAACTAGAAACACTATAAAGGACTGAAAATAAGGAAAGCAATAAGATAATTCTAATTACACTAAATACCTCTAATAATAATATCAAAAGGACCATAAAGGGCTAAACTAAATTTAACATGAAGCTAAATAAAATGAAAAGCAAAACAAACCCAAAAACCCAGTGTCCTGACAGTTAGCTTGTTAGATTAAATGTAACAAGCAGATGTATGATTATATAATTGTTTACTTTAATCACATAAAATATTTAAAAATATAATCTTTCATTACATGTATGTTTATTACCTGAAATATTTTAAATATCAAATTTTGACTTAAAATGCGATTCATTACTTTACCTGTTTACATGTATCTTGAAGTGCTTGAATCAAATGTTTCATGAATGTTTAATACATTAAATTATTAAATGAGAGAAAACAGCCACTTCCAACTGTACACATATTTCAACACAAATGGTTCCTGTTCCTCTTCAGAGTCTGCAGCCTTGCTGAGCTCCTCTCCTGGGGTTTGTTCTTCCTCAGCCTCTCTAACTTGCTCCTCTTCTATTGCCTCCGCTACTGTGTTTTCATTACTTACTTCTTCTGGGGTAAATAATAAAAACAGTCTCTGTAACTTGTTCATCCACCATGATCTTGCTGTATTGCCTCATTAATTGACGCCCATGTCGGTCCGATGTTGTGGCGTTTACCTTGCAGTGACCCATATTCAGTGCTGGACCCCAGTCAGGATTGAGCTAATCCATTTCATACGTCGGTTTGCCTTTAAGAGGTCATATCAGAACACACATCAGTATTAATGCTGTAAATTTGATAACACTAGTAAAATAGTTTATTTCACAATAATGGAATAACCTCGATGTCCACTGACAAAACTCGGACTACACTACATAAACAATATTAGCCCGACCTAAACAAGGTTGACCCACTTAAATGAATTCAACATAAACTGAACATGAGTACACCTGGACAAAATTATAGCAAAAAGTTATGACTGTTAAGGAAGAAAATCTAAAATAGGTCAACTTTGGAAAAAAGTTTGGCTCTCTCTTCCTCTGGATCCCAGGTCCTCTCGGCGAGCCAAGTGTGGCCACAAGGAAAACAACAATGCGTGTTGACGTCACAGAATTACAGAGTTTAATCCAATATAAGACAATGCATAAACTTACACCAGAAACTGCAGAACAACGGAGACATACATTCATTTACCTCACATAAATGGAAAGAAGGAAAGAAAGAAAAGCAAAGACGTGCAAAGACATCTTTGGAGAACTGCAAGGGCAAATCTGATTTGTTACTTCTGTGTAGAAAGTTTTATCCTCTTGTATTTAATTTATTCAAATAAGGCGTATCTTTGCTCATCCAACCAGGAGCTATCTCTGACCCTCTCTCTGAAGCCTAAAACCCCTGCCGTGTTTACGGCCTTTCACAGATGAGTGTGAAAAGCTGGAACTTCTCCTGATTGTTTTCCCACACAGACAAAAGGCAGTTCAAACGATCCTAGCAAACCATCTGCTGTAACTACAAGTAAAATAAAGGTCAATAGGCCAGAATAAGTTACTGATTTCAAAACCACAATTAGGGCATTTGAATCAAGACATGTTAAGTTTTAAAACTAGCTTATTTTAAATTTATTTTCTCAACAGTTCCCTCTTTTAATCTCTTAATAGAGATTACACTCTAAAATATAAATTTAAAATATACTATGCGATAGGATAAGCCTAAATTCAGAAACACCATCTTATAGCTGATAAATTACGTCCCTCTTTTTGCATAACATTTCTACATAACATTTGTTGTTAAAATGTTGGCATATTCATTGCAAATAAAATCAGACCGCAAAATCGTATAAAGTATTCAAATCCTAAAATAAATGTTCAAAATTATCTAGCCCATAGTCATGTCTTACCAAAAGATGATCCAAAAAATGCATAATTTTATCAATGCTTAACAGAAACCTTACCACAAATCTTAATGTTATACTTAAAATGATGTTTTAGAAAAGTCAATCATATTCCTGATACAAAAAGATGATACACAAATATTTGTCCAAAATTATCCATGAAATAAATGAGCAAGTAGATACACTATACTGCATATAAAAGACTTCCAAACTATTAATAAACCTCCAGTTCAATAGTTTTTGTACAATATTTTTTTCTTTTTTTACATATCTTCATTTTGTGTCCGTGTTTCTTGATGCTCCTTGAAGTAAGATGAGTTCAATGGCACGTCGTAGATGAAAGATGAAAACTTGTTAATAGGAAAACAAAGATGATCCTCTGGTCTCCAGCAGCTCATTTTCCTTATAATTTTGAACTCAGGGTCGTCAGCTGAGTAACCGATGCTCACCTATTTAGGGATTATTGTGCCCACAATTTGGTGAGTTTAACAAAAAGGCCATTCCCTCTTTTCCAATTTGGTGACATCAAAAGCATAATAGAATGAAAGAAATCCTGATGAACATCTAGGTGTGAGGTCGTCCTCCGGTCAGGGAAGATCCTGAGTCACACCAGGTTGTGGTCCTTTGTTATCCAATGAGGTCATCAGCTGGTCGGCATACTGGAACAGAGTCTGTCACCTATCTAGAGCTCCTTAATGTATTTTAAAATAAAATAAGTAATTCCTTCCAATTTGAATTAATGTTTTATTTACACTGATTTATTAATTAATACTCTAATTATTCTTTATTGTTTTAAGTCATATATTGTTCTTGTTATCAAATCTTATTTTAATAGTTATTTTATTGAATTATCAGGAAGGAAGAGATTTTGTGGTTGCTTTTTAGTTTTATTTCTCTTTAAAACTTCATTCCTAATTATCATTTATTTCCTTATGTTAAGTCTCTTCCAGTATTTTCCTTTCTTATTATAAATCTGCTGTATTTTATCAATCCTTTGACCCTCTTTTTATATAAGGCCTACATGAGAAGTTAATGTTTCCTATCGCGTTAAACCCAAACCTTAACCATATTTTAGAAGCAGTTCCATAATTGCTAATTTGTAAATCTCCAATTTAGACCAATTTAATTTCATTCATCATATTTTCTATTTTAAAACCTTAAAGAATGATCAGCCTGTTTTACAAGAATAAAGTTAACCGTGTCACTAAATATCAAAATGACTTACTTTATTCCAATCATAGTTTTAAATCCTAAAATTTCAACCATTTTTACCTTTGATCCATTTATTCTTTTGAAAAGCTATTTATATTTAATTGGATAATGAATTACCCTTTTTATAGTGTTTATTAATTATCAATGCATTTTCAGTTTTTTGGAGAAATTCGATACAGCTAAGTTTATTAAATGATGTAAATATTTAGTTTAGACCTTCCTGGATGTCTTAGTTAAACTTATTTCAAATCATATGAAAAGAGATTCAACAATCCAACGCTCACTTTCCCTGTTTTAAGAAACACTGTTTTATGTAAATTATTGGACAGGTAATATTAAGTTTAGTATATTCAATTTATAAATTTTAGTTATTCCATATCCAAATAGTTAGCTCATATTTAATGAATTTTGATTTAACTTCAATAACCTCTTTTGCCAAGAAGTAAAGAGAGCTCCAAACTACAAATTTGCTTATTAGATCAATTCCATTCATTTCCCCCTGTTTCTATAACAGAACAAATGTTCTGTCATAGAAAACAATAAAAATCCCATACAACTCATTGAGATGAAACATGCTACCACTGCTAACCTTACCATCATATAACACAGTTGGATGTAATTCAAAGATGGTGTCCCAGATGCTGTTACAATCTGCACACCTCAATGTGCAGATTGAGGTGTGCATTTGATTAAATTGATGAAATCAACACAGAACTTGGTGTCATTAGCACAGTATGCTCTATAGACACTCATCAATCCACTTTAACACCCTAATTTTAAATTCCATGTAAATTTAAACTTAGTTTTTACTGAATGGTAGCCACTGTACTATGCAAATAAAATTTAGATCATCTTCCTTAGTAGATGAAGCGTAACAGACTATGAAATTCAGCTATGGTTAAGAAAAACTTTTGCAATTCCAATAGTTAGTCCCTGCCCATTCTTTTCAGGCAGGAAGGAAAAACACATTAGCATTTTGTGAGACAAACAGAGTGAATCATGGAGGAAGTTAATGCATTTCTGAGAAATGCAGAGTCGTAACAGTTGGTTCACACCAACCCTCAAACTGCATTGTAAAACCTCTGACACCAGGAGATGGGTGTCCCCAACACATTAGCATTTCACTGCAGGGGTTCAGGACGTGAAGGCAACAGGGCGCATCTGTGCTATAACTAAAGTAAGGAGAGAACAATGGCATCACACACTACAAAAATTTAAAAAGAACTTATTCACCACTACCAAGTTTTGTTGGCATCCATTTCGTCTCCAACCTGCAGACTGAAGGGAACCCCAGGAGTGGGCTTTGGCGCTCAGGTCACATGATCAGAGGTGAGAATCCAGGATCAAACATGAGAACACACAACAGGACCACTGCTGAGCGACTTGCCATGCCCCAATTCTTTATCTGCTGAATCAGAAGGTGTCCAGAGTAGCAGTCATTCCTGCAGTGCAGAAACATCTGGATACAGTCCCTCTTTGATGAACTTTGGTCAGCCTTTCGTGGTCGACAGAGCAGGACGTAGAAACACAGCAGATCAGTCATCCTCTGAAACCCCCGTCTGGGTTAGGACAAAAAGCTTTGATCTTTGTGGTCCCGACTCCCTGCTGATTCCAGGCCGTAGAGGACTCTCACAGATAACGCCTGAGTCCCTTTTGTTTTCAGCCAGGTGTGAAAAGCAACACTCAAAGCAGACATCTGTTGCCAGGTCCTGTGAGCAGCACTTTGCCCTCACGTGACAACAGGAGAACACAGTTCATCTTCACTGACCTTAGTAATCGTTCAATAGTTTTGGCTTTCATACAGCAGTCCAGCAGAAGATGGGCACAGTTCAGCATCGTCATGTCTTTGTTCAGCAGCAACAGCAGCGGCCTGATGCGGTAATCAAGAAGATCCTTTCTAATCACACCGTCCCATGATCTCTGAGCTTGAAAGACCCTGCCCCCAAGATCGCCATCAAGTCAGAAGGAAGGAGAACTGCCAGAGAAAAAATAATACAAAGTAATTAAAAATCAAAACTTATATATGCCACAATTTGGTTACTTTCACTATTATAATTAAAATAAAATTTTATCTTGTGATGCATTCTCCCGTGTGGCTCTAGATTTGTCGTTGTTGTTATAGCACAAACGACCAACTGCCTCAAATCCTGAACTGCAAAAAGAATAAACATAGAAATGTGTTAAAACATTCCACCATCAGATGTGCCAGAATTAAGAAATAGACACTTACTGTTCAAGATCAATAAGCGTAAATACCTCGATGACATTCACTCTGTTTATGCCAAATATCAACTACAAATTTTAAAATCACAACCTCACAAACTCATTAAAGAACTAGAACAAAATCTAGAATGTCCTAGTACTAACACTTATAAAAGTTGTGATTGAATTGCACTTTGTCAAATAATTATGAATTTCATATTGTTCTACTAAATCTTATCATTGTCCCACGTTTCAAGACAAAGTCCTATTTCAAAATTTCAGAAGTTATTCACATTGGATTTGAATTTCATAGCAGTTTTAACCAAAATTTTCTTCAAAATTAACAATTTACACCCAACTGTATATAATCAAAATCAGCAGTGATGCAGAAATCTATCAACAATTTTAAATGTAAATAAACATGGCATAGATGTTGTTTATAGCTGTTCCATTTTAGATAATCAATTCTAATTTAGTAGAAGCTACTTTATCACATACACCATATTTTAGTCAAGCAGGAAGGCAATATGACTCTACATTAAAGAAATCCATAATTCACTATTGTTGAATGAAAAAGTTAAAATTATTGATTAACTAATTTACAATTAACCGTATCCAAAAATTTACCAGGAATTAGGGTCTATTTTTCCTTCTCCCCCTGTTGATATAAT